ACTGCTTAATCCTTTGACTGCTGCCTAATCTCAGTAGGTGCCAACCATTTTAGTATTGCTATGTCAAGGGTTAATCTAGGGTTCCAGAATGGAAAGTTGGAGAAAAAGGGTAAACATCTCAAGGATTACTCTCCTTTTCTTCCTCTACACTGGTACCCACAATCCAAGGTACCATTCTTTCTTCTGGACTAGTGTCAAGTCTTCCCAACTGGTTATTGGGAGGTATGCTCCAGGGAATTCAGCTAGGTCAGAAAAAAATGCAGCTGAACTGTCTTATTCAGCTTATGGGTTGATGGCTCTGTAGCTTCTGGCTATTTATTTAACCAACCAATTGTGCCAAGCATTGTAGTAAGCACTGGGAATAAGAGATGAGTTAGATACAGCCTCACCCTCAAATAGATTACAATTAGAGAGAGAAGCAGAAATTAAAACCTCAGCAAAACAAAATAGGTAATTATAATCAATGCAGCTAATAGAGTAGAAAGAGGTTTATGTGGAGGGACAAAAAGGACAAGAGGAGGAAGTACTTAACGGAGTGTGTTGGTGAGGAATAGGTGGTGATGATCAAAGAAGGCTTCCTGAGCTGTCTTACACCAACAAAAGGAGTTAGCCTGTAAAAGCTGGGGGTGGGAAGTGGGGAAGCCCGGCAGCAGGCAAAGCATGAATAAAGATATACAATGGTGTAGGGGAGCAGTATAAGAAGTTTGGTTTTGCTGGTGTTTCAGTATGAATGGGGGTGAAGGAGAGTAGGAGGAGGATGAAGCTGGAGAGAGAGACAGGATCCAATTTAAGGAGCTTAAACTTTAACCTTAGGAATGAATTTTTATTTATTTAAACTTTAACCTTAGGAACGAATTTATTCAAACTTGGTCAGACTTGCATTTTTAAAAGATCACTAGCTGCTCTTTGAAAGGTAGATTTTTGGAAAAACTAAACTGGAAGTAATGAGATTCTTTGGGAGTCTGCTGCAGTAACAGCCTTAACCCTCACCATAACAGTACTAAGCAGCTGGTATCCACTGAGACGTTAGAGGTCTAGCAGACAATTGAAATGCAACGCAAGAATGACTAACAGATATGGATAGGAAGTATAATAAGCAGAATTAGTTCGGGGTGTGTGTCGGGGCAGGGGGTTGCAAAGAAAAGAGAAGAGTTAAAAGTGAGGCATTGGTTTCAGATCTTGCCATTTACCCACAGGAGCCACAGGAGACGGAGCAGAGTTGAAGGGAAAGATCATTCAAGTTAGGGTTTACCGAGTTTGAGGTGTCTACAGCAGGACACTCAGAGGAAGATGACCAGCAGCAAGTTGGATCCAAGAGTCTAGAGCTCAGAAATGAGGTCAGAGGTAGAGAAATTGCCAGAGGAATCAAAGATTAAACAAGCAACAAAGCTAAAACAGGCCCATTGAAGCAGGTTAGGAAACAAGAAAAAAAGACAAGAAAAAATGGGGGGAAAAAAAGGGACAATCTGAATAACTGGGCTACAAAAAATAGTTAATGCTCTAACTAAATGATTAACATGAACTAAGTTTATGCTTAAGTTATTTTTATAGGAACCAAAACAAAACAGAGCATACCTTAAAAGGCACAGTTAAAAAGCAGCGTTCGGAGGCAAGATTGGGCGGGCCGCCCGAGGCCACGCCCATCGCCACGCCCACCGGCGCTGGCCACGCCCTGCAGCCCACGCGCGACGCCGCTTCCTTTAACCAGGTCGCCATCTTGAGAGACGCTGGTCTTTTACGGCGCGAAAGCCAGATTTGGGTTTGGGGCTCTGAAGTCACCGTAAGTGATGTGTCCAGCCCCATGCTTCCCCCTTAAGCATTTGCAGCAGTGGGAAGCTACATTTATATTAGCAAGTTGGCAGCCCAACCTGAGGCACTTCGGCCCAGTCAGCTCCCTACGACCGGCCGGTGAACCTGAGGCTGCCATTATCCTCAGGGGAGGAAGCTGAGCCCAAAGGGCCTCCGCCGATGTCCGTTCCCACTGGGGTCAGGGGCCCCAAGCCCCGCAGCCCGACGGCAGGCCGGGTGGCTCGGCTGGGCCTCCAGGGCTGGCCTGCGGTCGGCCTGTCCGGAAGTCCGGCCGGTGTGACGGCTCTGCTCGTTTGTTCCTCTCGGCGATCCCAGCCCGACGCTGCCTGTCGTTCAACGTCTGAAAATAGTTGTTTCCTGTTTGTCCGGTTTTCTGGTTGTTTACGGCGGGAGGGTAATTCTTGTTCTGGTTTCTCCATCCTAACGGGCATGCTCTGGTTTTTGACTCAAGCTGCTGCGTGAACAGTGGCGCCCTTTTCTGAGATGGGACAGACTTCAGGAGGAATAGATTTTGAAGGGAAAATCAAGGGTTCCGTTTTGGACATCCTAATTTTGAGATGCCTGTGAAAAATCCAAGTGGAGATTTCAGTAGGCTGTGGGATATGTGGGTTTGGAAATCAGAGAAGAGGTCTGGAAGGGAAACAGTATTTATTGATCTTTCCCTAAATATTATTGAGTTTTCACGTGAACTTGGCTACCTTGGCTGGGAGAGACAAAGTTAAAGGATCTGTAGATAATGTGGAAAATGGTTGTGGTAATGATTCTGGTTAAAATGCTGTGTTTTATTCAATGTTCGAGCAATTTACCATCCTCTTAGCCTCAGACCTTTTGTTTTGGCCTAATTGCACTGTAGGCGGAAAAAATGCTCTTAAGATTTCAATTCTTACAAGTTTATTAAAACCAGTTGTATGGTCAGTATCACTTTCGAAAAATGTTCCGTTTCCATTTGAAAAGAAATTTTGCAGTCGTTGAGTACGGTGTTCTCTAAATATTGACTAGTTTGTTAACCCTGTTGAAATCTTCTGTATCCTTACAGACTTTTTTGTCTGCTTATTATATCCTTTATTGAGAGAAGTGTGCTAACTCTTCCACCGTGATTGTGGATTTGTCTCTTTCTCCTTTAGAGGCTATGTGATTGGTTGCCTACAAATTGAAATGTCTTCTCTTTTTTTTTAGTCGTTTTTCATCATTATGTAATGTTTTAATGTCCCTTTTTGTCTCTACTTACACTTTTTGCCTCAAGGTTTTTTGGTCTGATGTTTTTGATTTGATGTATAGTGAGGTGGATGGTACCATTTGGCCCCAAGTCTCACCTTTCCTTTAGTTACACCCTTTGTATTTACACCCTTTGCCATGTAACTTTACAGTACCCTCTGACCATGAGTTGACTCCTTGGCTTTTTGACTTTGGCTTCAAGGCACTAGAGTGCCTTTCACAAAAAAGAAACTGGGGCACAACAGAAAGTTTTCAGGGGTAGAGACTGTTACCTGGGATCAAGTCCTGCAAGACTAACTTTATTTGTTGTGGGTTTTTTTTCTCTAATTCTACACATTCTCTGAAAGTTTCTGTGTATGAGAACAACTTTTTCCTATTGCAGTGGGGTGAGAAAATGCAGTAGGGATAGCTAGATATCCCTCCCTTCTTTTTTCCTTCCTCCATCCTGCTAATTGGAATTTGGAGTGATGGATATAGTTCGAGCAGCCATTTTGGACCCTGAGAAGGAAGCCCTGTGCTGCAGTGGAAAAACAAGATGGAAGATGTCTGGGTTCTTAATGATGATGTGAAGCCACACACCACATAATTTGTTCTTTCTACCTTTGAAGGTCTTAGAAGGATCTTTTCAAATACCACATCTACTCGGGCAAGAGAAACAAAAGAAAAAATAGACAAATGGGACTTCATCATACTAAAGAGCTTTGCAAGGCAAAGGAAACCCTGAACAAAACAAAAAGACAACCCACCAACTGGGAGAAAATATTTGCAAATCATATATCTGACAAGGAGTTAATCTCCAAAATATATAAGTAATTCATACGACTCAACAACAACAAAACAACCTGAACAAAAAATGAGCAGAGAATGTGAACAGACGTTTTTCCAAAGAACTAATATGGATGGCAAACAGGCACATGAAAAGATGTTCAGCATCACTAATCATCAGGGAAATGCAAATCAAAACTATGATGAGATATCACCTTACACCTATTAGAATGGCTATAATTACCAAGACAAGAAACAACAAATGTTGGACAGGACGTGGAGAAAAGGGACCCCTCATACGCTGCTGGTGGGAAAGCAAACTGGTGCAGCCACTGTGGGAAACAGTGTGGAGATTTCTCAAAACATTAAAAATCGAAATACAGTATGACCCAGCTATTCCACTGCTGGGTATTCATCCAAAGAATTTGAAATCAACAATTCAAAGAGACTTCTGCACCCCTATGTTTATTGCAGCACTATTCACAATAGCCAAGATGTGGAACCAACCCAAGTGCCCTTGAACTGATGAATGGATGAAGAAGATGTGAAATTCTACTCAGCCATAAAAAAAGATAGAGTCATCCTATTTGCAGTAACATGGATGGACGTTGAGGGTATGATGTTAAGTGAAATAAGCCAGACAGAGAAAGACAAACACCACATGATTTCACTCATATGTGGAAGATGACCAAATACATGGACAGAGAGATCAGACTAGTGGTTACCAGAGGGGAAGGGGATTGAGGGTGGGTATAAGGGGTCAAGGGGCACAAAATATGGTGACTGACAGATGATAATATACAACTGAAATTTTACAATGTTGTAAACTATTATGTCCTCGATAAAAAAATAAAAAACACATTCATGTATATTATCTAATTTGATGTTTTCAGCGTCTATTAGTTGGCTAGAACAGAGAATAAGGTCCCATTAAGCCTTGAATGGTTCAATAACTGCGGTAAACACTCCACAAGGTAGTGGGAAAGGTAAGATGAACCTCTGCTCTTCTACACCAAATCCAGTGCTTTATCCTAGATTATAAACTTTTTTTTAGTCCATCTATTTTTGATGGAATTTTCTGTAGAATGGTGGGATAGGAAACATTTGAAGGAGCTACTACATCCTGATTGTTTTATTTGTCATTCCAGCAAAAGGGTGAACCATGCCTACGAAGGTCAACAGTGTTGAGCCCAGAAGCCAGAGGACAAGAAGCCAGAAAAAGCATACTCAAGGGATTATATGCTATTTCAACCACCAATGCTATCTCACTTTCATTACTGGCTGCTACAGCTGCAAGTGGAAAGTCAAACGGGAGAAAAAATCTAGCCATAAAATTTGCTGCTGCTCTTGGGTACAGAGAGTTGGGAAGGAGCTGGACCACACTTTCTCAGATAGGGGGAACTTGGGCTGGTCCCTAACTCCATGAGGGTTCATTAGAGTCTCAAGGACTGGGTGTGCTAGGGCCTACTTCCTCCATGAAAAGACTGTCTCAATTCTGGAGCCAAAGTTAACTTTACTGAAACATGTGCTGGTTTTCTTCATTTTCTTTCACTTGTATTCTTTTTATGTCATTCATTTATTCATTCACTTTTGCTTTTACTCATTCAGTAAACCTTGAAGAAAAAATGAAGTTTAGGTACAATTAGATGTTTTTGGCTAGGGATTACAGGAATGCCTGAATCTTTAATTCTCTCTTCATTGTGAGTTTCCCAAAGGAGCTATGCTTGTGAGGAAAAAAACAGCAAGTGAGAAACAAGATGCTCCGTTATTACTGGTCAGGCTAATGCCTGCTTTTCCCTAATAAAGATCTCTGGTGAGGCTAAATAGTGGCTTGTGGCCTCACCTCATTGAGGGCCTCTTTTTCTAAGCCATATGTTGGGACCATCTGGTGGGCTATATGATATAAAAGACCCAGTGATGAGCATGCTGGAGTGAGAAGAGGAGGGCCATATCATGTACCTTCACTTACTTGTAAACATGGTCCAGCTAGGGTCTGAGAGTCTGACGGATTGGATCACTAATTTCCTATGCCCGAGCTGGGGGAAGGGGTGGAAATGAGAAGCTTCCCTGGATTAGGCAGGAGTGTTCTTCTGTCCTCTTTACCTTTCGTGCCCAGATATTTGGCTTCTATGCTAGTGACTGGGAATAGCAGAGGAGCCTTAGGCATGATTCATGCTCTCAAGGAATTCACACTCTGTGGAGGAAAACACAAGTGCACACATAATCTCAATATAGTAAAAGAAGTGCTATACTTTGTGTGTGTGTGTGTGTGTGTGTGTGTGTGTGTGTTTGCATGCGTGCATGCATCCATGTGCCAAGGGAGGGACTGAAAATAACTTTATATAGAAGTTGAAAGATGATTAAGAATTGGATATGTAAAGAATAGGGGATGGCAGAAGAAATAGTACCGGAGGAGTTGTCAGAGGGCATTGGTGTAAGTTTTATTTTATGTGTAACTGAGGATATGGATGGAGAAGTGATGGGAAATGAAGCTAGAGAGAGATGAGTCAGATGTTGTGTAGTTTAAAGAATTTGACCTCTGCCACGTAGGGAATAAAGAGTCCCTAAAGATTTTAAGCTAGTGATGTTGCCTAAGCTATGTTTTGGAATGATTATTTGATCATGTGAGGATGCATTGGAAGGTACAAAACTAATGCAAGGAGACGTCTTTGCCTTCAAAGAGAAAGCAACAGCAATATTCAAGGTAAGAGATGTTGGTGGCCTGGATTGGAATAGTGATGGTAAAGATGGAGAACAGTGAATTGATTCAACAGATATTTATTACTTAGGGATGAGGTAGTAAGTCAAAAGAGCTATAAGGAAGGACATAAAGGGAAAGATAAAAGGAGGCTTCATGGAAAAGGTGACATTCAAGGCAGTGTGGTATGATGGAAAAATCCTTGGACCAGAGCCTGGGAGTATCTTTGGGTTCTAATTCCGGCTCTGCCCTTGGGCTGGTTTTGTGATATGCTGAGCCTCTCTAAAGCTAGGGAGTTGAACTAGATAATTCTCAAGGTCTCTAGATGATTCTCAAGGCCCCTATTCAGAGGAAGGAGTATAGCATTTAGCATAAGAGCTAAGTTCTTGTGTTATGGGGAAAGACTGCCTGGGTTCAATTTTTGGCTTCACCACTATCTCCAGATTAGAGCTTTACCACTGTGGGACACTGGGCAAGTTACTTAACATCCTGGTGCTTCAGGTTCCTCATTAGACTAATGGAGGTGGAGACAACAGTACCCACCAATAGGGTTTGTTGTGAAGATAGAAGAGGTAATATATGGAAACACCGAATAATTGGGCTCGGCACATAATTAGCACTCAATAAATGTTAGCTGTTACTATTATTACTGTTCTCGGAGTCACTGATGTGGAAGTGAACTTTCACATATAGAAATGATGGTGCAGGGGATTCTGGGTAGAGGGACTAAAGTGGTCTCAAGTCCAGAGATAGAGAAATGCAGTGGTGTATTTAGGGAAAAATGAATTTCCAGTATTGAATTTAGGCACATGTAAGACTATAAGTGGTAAGTGATAGGGTTGGAAAGGAATATTTTGATCAAATTATGAAGCATTTCTATGTCAAGCTAAAATATTTGAACTTTATCCTGTAAACAGTGGGGAGCCTTTGAAAATTTTTGAGCAAGAATGTAACAGACTCAAAATAAGGAAATGGATTTATTCAACAAAAACAAGTTTATTGAACACTTACTATGTGTCACAGTGAATAAGCTAACCAAGACTTCGGGCCCTCCTGCAGCCTACATTCTAGTAGCATGAGTTAGGTAATAATAAATGAAGAAAGATGATTTCAGGTAGTGATAAGAGCTTTGAAGATAATAAATAGGAAAATATGTTAGAAACTGGGATGGGAAAGTGATTAGAGTGGTTAGAGACTTCAAAGAAGTGACATGTGGCCTGTCTCCTAAATGAAGAGATAGAGCCAGCCATGTGTACATCTGGGGGCAAAAGTATTCCAGGCAGAGGAACAAGGAAGTACACAGCTCTTCAGGAGGGAACAGGTTGGGTCGTGTTCTGAAAACAATGAAGGCCAGTGTGGGTGGAGTTCAGAAGTGGAGTCAGTGTGTAGAATGGGATGAGGTCAGGGATGGTCAGGGGTTGATCATGTGGGACCCTGTGGGCCATGGCAGGCAGTTTAGATGATCTTCTAATACAATAGGAAACTCTGGGAGGGTTCTGAGCAGGGGAGTGGCATTACCTGGTACATGTTTTGGAAAGTCTATGCAAGTTTTGTGTAGAGAGTGAGTTTAAGACCTGAGTCAAACACTGTGCTCTTCATCCTCCTATACTCAGGAAGTGGGAGTTCAGTGCCTTGATACCTGTAATGTCTCTCATCTTTTTGGAATACCATTTCTATGTTTTCCATTTTACTTCTTTATTCTTACTCTTCACAATAGTTCCATAATTTAGACAGGGCAGGGATCATTCTATCCATTTTTAGCAGATTAAAAATCAGTGACCCAAAGAGGCAGAATTTTGTTTTCATGTGATATAAAAGTGTTAGGATTATAATTCAGGTAGCAACCTAAATTTAATGTTCCCGGAAGGGTTTGGCAATCTCTGGCATGGCTGGTTTGTGATACGGTTTTCAGTGTAGGGGGTTGCCTTGAAGGCTCAGTTTGAACACCTGCTCTGTAAAGATCTCCGCCATCCTGGCTTTGGGCTCACAGATCTGGGCGGTGCCTTTGCCGCTTCTTGGCCCTGTGACCTTGAGTCAATTGCTTTATCCTTCTGAGCTTTAGTTCTTCTGTAAAATGAAGTTAACAATACCTAACTTATATGGCTATATTGAGAAGTAAAGCAAATGTAAGTAGCTTGTGAAATCCCTAGCATTGTACTGGCACAAAATAGCTACTCAAAGAAAGATTTATTCTCAAACCCTTTCCCCCCACCCTCCCATGTCAAATGTGGGTAGATTAATGATTAAATGAACTGATGAATGATGAATGAATGAATGAATGAATGACTCAGTGAATGAGTCACTGAACAGATATTTGGTAGATAGAGAGGTAGATGAATTCAACAAATGATTGTTGAGAGCTAGCTGCATTTAAGGCACCATGCTAGATATTGGCAATACAGAGATGTGTAACACAAGTTCCCTTTCCTCAAAGAAGAAACTGTCACATCAGATACAAACATATAAACACATAATTGCAGTTCAGTGTAATAAATGTTATAAATAGGCTTATACAAAATTCCATAGGGGTAAAAAGAACACAGTGTTCACTGCAGCCTGAGGAGGGTAATGCATGGCACTACAACTGTACAGACCTTTGGCAAGTATCCACAGATATTTCTGAGCTAACATGGATAAATGGGAGCTAAATTAGACTTCTTTCTCTTCCCAGAGAGAGCGGTTATTTTACCCATTTCTGGTTGCTTCATTTTGCTTGTCTGTCACGTTGCTCTACGTGTGGATAGAAACCTCAAACGAATACTTTGGCTTTGACTGGTGAGTTTCAGGTTTTGTATTTTCATTTATGTAAGGGCTCTTTGGTCTGAAAGCTACCTGGATCCTACCTCAGGTTGAAAAGATCTGGTAGCATAAGAGGGAGGGTGGCAAAAATTGGGCTTTCCACAGCTGGCGGATGAGAAGCCTGACTCTGGGGCGGGATAAGGATGCTCAGCACCCCCACCTATTATGCTTCTCTTCTGCTTGTGCTCACTCTCACATTTAGACCAATCTGGCTCAGTGGGAAGCTTTCTCTGTGTTTCAATGTCCCCAGTCCTTCTATTCAGATGACTCTCTGAGACCTTGTTCCTCAGTCTTTTGTCTGGTTTACTGATGCATACTCCACTTGGTCTTCATGATCTCTGTCCACGAACCCTCATGTCTGTTCCTCAGCTCCAGGCTCTGCCTCTTCCTTCTGTCCTTAGGGAGTTTCCTAGGACTCTGAACACAGAAATGGCTGTCCCTTTTCAGCACCCTTTCATGCCCAAACTCCTATCCCTGGACTACTCCCAGCTCTTTCAGTTTCTCTGGTTTGATTGTTGCAAATCTTACTATTATTTGGTATTTGGGGGAGATAGTGGTATGTGTCAGTATGAGGCTTTTTAAAAAATGGAAGACAGTTTCTTTTCCCCTCTATAGAAGTGAAATATAGTTTGTTATTTTAAATATGAAAAATGCAAAAAATTAGAAAATATAAAAATCTGCTTAGTTTTATTCTCAAGTGATAATCATGTGTTGGTATATTCCCAGCCTTTTTTTCCCTATGCTTATTTTTATATTATTATGCTCATACCATGTATATAATTTTGTTTTTCCTTTTCACTTAAAATAATTACAAACATTTTGACAAATTATTAAAACTCTTAATGAACATCATTTAAAATCGTTTCAAAATATTTCATGACATGAAGATGCTATAATACACTTACTTAACCACTTTTTATTGTTAGGCATTATGAGTTTCCTAATTTTCTTGTTTTTGTAAAATTAGAGCGCAGAGAAATCTTTCTATTCTGACTTGTGTTCTTAGAATAGATTCCCACAGGTGGCGTTACTGAGTCAAGAAGAATAAACCCTTGTGAAATTCATTACGCCTATTGCCTAAATACTTTCTCAAAAGGTTGTAGCAATTTCCATTCACAACAGAGGTAATGAGAGTTTCTATTTTAACTGCCACTGACAGTATTAATTATTCTAATTTTGAATACTGTCTATTAATTTTCTAAATAGAAGTTATTTTGTTTTATTTTAATCATTGAATAAGTTTCAAACTAGTTTATTTAACTAATTTGTTTTCTTTTAAATTTTCTTCCTTTGCCCATTTATCTTGTGGGATCTTTAGTAAGTTTTCTCATCAGTTTATAAGCAATCTTTATTTATGGATCAGTTCTGAATAATTCCACAGCACTTGAAATACAAAAATGTTTCTTTAGATTTATAAATTTTCCCCCAATTTTAAAAAACTTTTTGTTGAGATATAATTGACCTGTAACATTATATTAGTTTCAGCTGTACAACGTAATGATTCAATATTTGTATATGTTGTGGAATGAGCACCACAATAAGTCTAGTTAATGTCCATAACCATACATAGTTACAATTTTTTTCCTGTGATGAGAACTTTTAAGATCTACTCTCTTAGCTTTCAAATATATAATATAGTATTATTAACTATAGTCACCATGCTGTACATTACATCCCCAGGATTTATTTATTTTATAACTGTAAGTTTGTACTTTTTTTTTTCCACCTTCACCCATTTTGCCCACCCTCCACCCCATGCTTCTAGCAACCACCAATCTGTTCTCTGTATCTATGAATTTGGGTTTTGGTTTTGGTTTTTTTTTTTCCTTCAGATTTCACAAATAAGTGAGATCATATGGTATTTATCTTTTTCTGACTTATTTCATGTGGTGTAATATCCTCAAGTTTCATCCATGTTGTCCCAAATGGCAAGATTTCCTTCTTTTTTATGGCTGAATAATATTGTTTTGTGTGTGTATGTGGTATATATACGTGTATACCGCATTTGACTTTCTCCCTCTGACTTATTTCACTTAGCATAATACCCTCAAGGTCCATCCATGTTGTCACAAATGGCTGAATTTCGTCATTTCTTATGGCTGAGTAGTAGTCCGTTGTTTATATATACCACATCGTCTTTATCCATTCGTCCCTTGATGGGCACCTAGATTGCTTCCAAGTCATAGCTGTTGTGAATAACTGCAGTAAACATAGGGGTGCATGTATCATTATGCATTTGTGCTTTCGTGTTCTTTGGATAAATACCCAGCAATGGAATAGCTGGATCATATGGTAGTTCAGGTCAATTTTTTGAGGACTCTCCATACTGTTTTCCATAGTGACTGCATGAGTTCTTTGTATATTTTGGATATTAAGCCCTTATCAGATATATGGTTTGCAAATATCTTCTCTCACTTGTTAGGTTGTCTTTTTGTTTTGTTGATGGTTTCCTTTGCTGTGCAGAAGCTTTTAAATTTGATGTAGTCCCATTTATTGATTTTTTCCTATTGTTTCCCTTGCCCAGTCAGACATGGCACTTGAAAATATGTTGCTAAGACTGATGTCAAAGAGTGTACTGCCTGTTTTCTTTTAGAAGTTTAATGATTTCAGGTCTTATATTCAAGTCTCTAATCCATTTTGAGTTAATTTTTGTGTATGGTGTAAGATAATGGTCTACTTTCATTCTTTTGCATGTGACTGTCCGGTATTCCCAACACCATTTATTGAAGAGACTTTCCTTTCTTCGTTGTATGCTCTTGGCTCCCTTGTCGAATATTAGCTGTCCATAGATGTGTGGGTTTATTTCTGGGTTCTTGATTCTGTTCCATTGATCTGTGTGTCTGTTTTTATGCCAGTATCATGCTGTTTTGATTACTACAGCTTTGTAGTATATTTTGAAATCAGGGAGTGTGATACCTCCAGCTTTGTTCTTTTTCTCAGGATTCCTCTGGCTATTCAGGGTCTTTTGTTTTTGCATATAAATTTTAGGATTCTTTGTTCTGTTTCTGTGAAAAATGTTGTTGGAACTTTGATAGGGGTTGCATTGACTCTGTAGATTGCTTTAGGAAGTATGGACATTTTAACTATGTTAATTCTTCCAATCCAAGAGCACGGAATATCTTTCCATTTCTTTGTGTCTTAAATTTCTTTCAACAATGTTTTATAATTTTCAGTGTACAGATCTTTCACCTCTTTGGTTAAGTTTATTCCTAGATATTTTATTCTTTTTGTTTCAATTGTGAATGGGATTGTATTCTTTTTTTTTTTTGAGGAAGATTAGCCCTGAGCTAACTGCTGCCAATCCTCCTCTTTTTGCTGAGGAAGACTGGCCCTGAGCTAACAGCTGTGCCCCTCTGCCTCTACTTTATATGTAGGACACCTACCACAGCATGGCTTTTGCCAAGCAGTGCCATGTCTGCACCCAGGATCCGAACCTGTGAATCCTGGGCCGCCGAGAAGTGGAATGTGCGAACTTAACCGCTGTGTCACCGGGCTGGCCCCAATAGGATTGTATTCTTAATTTCTCTTTCTGGTACTTCATTGTTAGTGTATAGAAATGCAACTCATTTTTGTATGTTGATTTTGTATCCTGGAACTTAATGGTATTCTTTTATTCTAAAAGTTTTTTAGTGGATTCTTTAGGGTTTTCTGTATATAAAATCATGTCATCTGCAAATAGTGACGGTTTCTCTTCTTCCTTTCCAATTTGGATCCCTTTTATTTATTTTTCTTGCCTGATTGCTCTGGCTAAGACTTTCAATACTATGTTAAATAAGAGTATTGAAAGTGAGCATCCTTATCTGGTTCCTGTTCTCAGAGGGATAGCTTTCAGTTTTTCTCCAATGAGAATGATATTAGCTCTGGTTTTGCCATATATGGCCTTTGTTATGTTGAGATACTTTCCTTCTATATCCATTTTATTCACAGTTTTTATCGTAAATGGATGTTGTATTTTGTCAAAAGCTTTCTATGCATGTGTTGAGACAATCATGTGATTTTTATTCTTCATTTTTTTAATGTGGTGTATTGCATTGATTGATTTACAGATGTTGAACTATCCCTCTATCCCTGGAATAAATCCCACTTGATCATGATGTATGATCTTTTTAATGTATTGTTGTATTCAATTTGCTAGTATTTTGTTGAGGATTTTTGCATCGATGTTCATCAGTGATACTGACCTATAATTTTCTTTTTTTGTGTTGTACTTGTCTGGTTTTGTTATCAGGGTAATGTTGGCTTCATAGAATGCGTGTAAAAGCTTCCCCTCTTTTCCAATTTTTTGGAAGAGTTTGAGAAGGATGGATATTAAGTCTTCTTTGAATGTTTGGTAGAATTCACCTGGGAAGCTGTCTGGTCCTGGACTTTTAATTTTGGGGAGGTTTTTGATTACTGTTTCAACTTCCTTACTGGTAATCAGTCTATTCAAATTCTCTATTTCTTCTTGATTCAGTTTTGGAAGGTTGTATGATTCTAAGAATTTATCCATTTCTTCTAGATTAACCAGTTTGTTGGCGTATAGCTTATCGTAGTATTCTCTTAGAATCTTTTGTACGTCTGAGGTGTCCATTGTAATTTCTCCTCTTTCATTTCTGAGTTTATTTATTTGAGCCTTCTCTCCTTTTTCTTTTTTTTTTTTTTGAGGAAGATTAGCCCTGAGCTAACATCCGTGCCCATCTTCCTCTACTTTATATGTGGGACGCCTACCACAGCATGGTTTGACAAGTGGTGTGTAGGTCTGCACCCAGGCTCGGAACTGGCGAACCCTGGGCTGCTGAAGCAGAACGTGTGAACTTAACCACTGTGCCATTGGGCTGGCCCCGTCTCTTTTTTTCTTGGTGAGTCTAGCTAAAAGTTTGTTAATTTTGTTTATTGTTTCAAAGAGCCAGCTCTTGGTTTCATTGATTTTTTTCTGTTGTTTTTTTAGTCTGTATTTCATTTGTTGATGAAAATAATCCATAACCAATCTATAAATG